TGTTTAGTTCTTCCTCTCCTCTCCTCTACTTGTAACTTCTTGAGAGGGCTTGTTTATTTCACCCACCCTACCTACCTCAAGATTGTTGAGAGGGAGATATTTTGTAAAATTTATAGTGCTATATAAATGGGAGCCAGCATTCTATTTCTTAATAATAATAATGATAATGACATTTGCATGGCTCTTTCAAGTTTACAATAACCCTATGAGAGAAACAGCACAAGTATCATTACCTCTATTTTACAGACAGGGCACTGAGAGGTTAAGTGGATATTCCCAGGGTTGGAAGCCAGATGAGAATTTAGGTTTCCTGGATCAAAGTACAACAAACTGCTGCCTTTCAGTGCCTAGGGCACAGTGCAGTTCACATGGTAGGTGCTCAATAGTATTTGTTGAATGAGTAAGTGAATGAATTCTAGTGAGTGGTTGTGCCCTCTGTCTGAATCACAGGCACCTGTCCAGGTAACAACGGCTCGTTGCTGCCGCAGCTGACCTTCCCCTCTCCCTTTTAAAGGAAGATCTCTGAAAAGCAACTCAGGGTAATGCAGAGTTCAGTCCAATGTCCAAGGAAGGAAACAGACCAATGCAAAGAGAGCATGAGTGTCTTTCCTAACTCTAAAAGACTCAGTGAAACAGATTATGAGAAAGTATCTTGTCTAGGTGCTGAAACAGAGAGGAAGTAGATTTACCATGAGCCAATCTGAGGCAGAAAACAGTGACCTCTGTTTGTTTAAACTAAAAAAGTGTCAGTGTGACTATAGTGGATGAGTGCTAGACTGGGAATTATGAGACCTGGGTTCAAAAGCAGCCTCAGGTACCCTCTAGCTCTTCCACCATGGAAAAAGTCACTTAACCTCAGAAAACATCAGTTTCCTCATCTACAAAATAGGAGTAATAGGTATGGCTCAAATGTGAGCTAGGGGTTGTTTCGCAAAACTTACCTAATATTCAGCTATCATTGTTAAAGAAGTGTGTCGTTGTGTGGAGGGTGGAGCTGTGGAGCCAAGGGGTAAAATAAGAGGGTGAAATGGAAATACTTGAAATCGTGAAGGTGGGAAAGAGCTATACCACCATTAGTGTAACCGCTCCCAAGGAAACTAGCTGCTTGTTCTAGAGCTGGTACTTGGAGTGGAGCTAACAAGAACTGTCTGCTAGGCAGAGGCAGCAGCAAAGCCAAGCTGCAGACAGCAACGGGGATTACAGTGCCAGCTAGGAGTGGTGGACAGTGGTAGCAGCAAGAAAGAGTCCCATCAGTTCCTGGCTATATCCACACCATCTTCCCTGTCCCTCTGCCACCATCCTCATGTCCCCATCACAGGAATTGTGGACTCCTTCTTTGGAATACTGTGCTCTGATAGGTGAGTTTTCATCACGTCGGGCCTGGAACCAACCCTGACTCTACTTCTTGGCCATTTATGGGCAAACAAGGCACTCTGAGAAGAGACAGGGGTAAGTAAGATGCCAGGCAAATCAAATTATCACCACCTCCTCCCCTTAGATCTCAGTGGAGGTAGCCCAGGACGCTGAGCCCAAGAGCCCTGGAAATAGCAACACCCCCCCCCAAGACCAACAGTCGTGTCATAAATGGCCAGATAATCCCAAGATCCCCAAGAGTGCTAGCGTAGCCCAGACTACCCCTACTCCCAGCACAGGTGCAGAAACCAACACTCAGAGAGACAATCTCATGGAGTTGTATCTTGGCAACTGCTTCAGCAGGTGATTCAGCATAGGAACACAGATTTAGAGATGGAAGGGGCCTTTTAGGTCATCTTTTAGTTCTCTCGTTCAATTTAGGAATATTAACTCGAAGCAGAGTTAATTATTATTAATTATTATATGTAATTATTAATTAATTATTACTAAGTTTTCTAATCAAAACCATGATTTGAGTCCAGATCCTCCAAATCCAGCAATCTTTTCATTGTACTAAACTGCCTTCCAAAGTCAAGGGAGGAAAAATGACAGTATTGGGAAAACTCCTCCTTCTTCCACCGACGCACGCCACCCCTCCTCCCCATCCGTCCCCACCCCAATTCAACTGACTACAAGGTTGGGACAGAGTTAAGAAATAATTTTCCCCCCACCTGGGACTTTGGGTGGGGATCCTGGAATAGCGACCTTTAGTTTTGTAGAAAGAAGGGCAGTACTGTCTAGTGGAAAGAGTATTGGACTTGGAGTCAGGGGACCTGGGTTTAATTCCCTCACTCTGACATTTACTATCTGAATGACCTCAGTCACCTAACCTCCCTACATCTTTAGTTTTTTCATCTGTAAAATGAAGAGTTGAACTAGATAAACTATCACCTCCCTTCCAACTTTATATCCATGATCTGTTCTTCAGATCTACAAATCTAGAACCATGAATTGGAAGAAGACAAGGGCTTGTGATTTTGCCCTGCTGTCTGGCACACCTGCTCAGTCTGACCCTGGCTCAAACCCAGAACCTATTTCACATATCACATGATGGGAGGTCCAAGGGCAGGACATCATGGGCTGACCCCAGAAAGGCCCAAGAAACCTAACATTCTGTACTCAACTGTTAGGGAGTTTCTGTTCAAGGGAGTGGAATGGTCTATGACTCTACCACAGATGGGAGCTAGGGAAAAAGTCCAATTATCGTCAGGGGTGCAACACCATAAATGTCCCCCCTCCACCAGAGGTTGCAAGCTCTTTGGCTCTTTCCCTCTGTGGCAAGGTTCCATGTGGTAGGAGAAGATGTGGGACTTGGGCCTAAAACAGAGACATCCTGAGAATAGGAAGGAAGGAGGCAAGAAGGGCTCTCAAGCAGTTCTCTGATGCCCATAGCTGGACCCACTGACCTTCTGCCATCCCCTACCAGTTGGAGTAATACATAGGATATGCAACGTTAGTCTCATTTTGTTGACTTTGATTAGAGCTTTGTTTTCATTGAAAATAAGTAATGTATTTATGTGTGAGTTATAATCAAAAGTACTCAAAAACTTTGGCCATTATTTTGTACACCAGGCACAAAGGTGTTTTTACCCATCTGATAAGTTGGTTACATCCCACAATTTAGGATTATAGGAAAAGGAATAAACATTTATTATCAACTATGTAACAGGCACTGTACCAAGCACTTAACACATATCATCTCATTGGTAATATGACCATAGATTTCAAGCCAGAAGAGATCAGAAGCCATCTACTTCAATCTACACATTTTACAAAGGAGGAAACTGAGGCCCAAAGAAATAGAATGACTTACCCAAATTCACAATATGGTAAAGGCCCTCAGACCCTCAGATTCCAGAGTGCTCTTTCATCTGTTGGGATTCTCACTCTGCTTTGGGATTGATATACCCCATCCTTATTTACCTGTCTCTATCCTTCTTTTATCTCTTCTCCAAAAGGACTGCCTAGCACAAATTGCATTTTTTTAAAAAAATTAAGTAAATTCAAATTGCCTTTTTTTAAAAAACATTTTTGTTCTCTCATATTCCTAGATTTTGTTAAAGACCTGCAAGGGTGCTATAAAACCACTGCTACTAGCTAGGACTTCCCTGCACTAGGTTAATATTAAAGTAGGAACAAAGAACACCTTTCACCTTCAGTGTCTTTTACTTTTTATATTTGGAGACTGATGACATTTCCTTATAAGTAAGGAATGACAATTCTGGGGAGCCCAGCATTTGGCACTCCAAATAAGATTCCTTCATTCATAATCATTTAGTGGGTGTGCTACTTTCCTCTTATGGCTACTTGACAAGATGTCAAGTCCCAGGACAAGGTGTAAAGTCCTCATTGCCCCACTGATGAGACCTTTGTCCTGGCACTGACCCAAGATGACAAGCTCATACTCTTGGGTTTGGCCTGTCAAAGGGAGATACACAGTGACTCAAGAGGACCAGAAGAAGAGAAGGTCAGATGGAGAGGGGATATATAAAGATATATTTCCTGGAGAGAAATATGCCTAACCATGCACCCAACCCTAGACTCTCCCAGGGAACTGCATGGTCCCAGGAATAGCCATGTGGATTTTAACAATTCATCTAGGAACTTATTAGAGAGACATAAGAGGGAGAAGGGGCTCCTCTTGTTTCATAACTGGGCACATCCATTACACAAGCTCAAAATAGGTAAAGGCAAGGAAATGATGAAGTGACACCTACATGCCATGATCACTACTATCACTTCATCTTTGCTCATGATTTTTTTTTCTATCTGGAATACCTTCCCAACACCTTTCTGTCTACTCAAATCCATAGTTGTATTCAAAGTTCATGCTTAAGTCCAATCTTCCCTAATGAAGCTTTCTAATTTATCTAGATCACTGTTCTCTCTCTTTGAATTCTTATTGCATTTGTAACACACAACCTAACAATTATATGCTTTCCTGTTTCTCTAATTGTTTCACGCCAGTTTTTTAAAATTAATAATAGTACACATTTCTGTAATATTTTAAGGTTTACCAAGTACGTTCTTCACAACAGTTCTATGAGGTAGGTAGCCCAGAGACCAGAGAAGTACACTAACTTGCCCATAGTCACACAGCTGGAAAATGTCAGAGGCAAGATTCTAAAAGAGGTCATCTGACTGCAAGTCTAGTGCTTTCCTCCCTCTCTCCACTGCTAAGTTTCTTTGTAAGGTGTAAAGCGTCTAAACCCTTTACAAATTTCCTCTTCTCAAAATACTTTCTTCATAGCAGCCCTAAAATAGTATAAATCATTATCTTCGTTTTAGAGATGAGGAAAATAAGTCTCAGATAAAGTGGCTTGGCTTAGCCTCAACAGATACGAAGTGTTGATCCTGGGATTCAAACCTAGGTTTTCTGACTCGAAGTTCAAAGCTCTTTCCACAAATGGTACAGTAATTAATGAAACTTATTTATTTATTATTTATTAAATACTCTGGAATCCAGAGAATCTGAGTTCAAATCCTGCTGATGACGTTTACCAATTCTGTTACCTTGGCAAGTCAATTAACCTCTGTTGGCCTCAGTTTCCTTATCTGTAAAAAAATTTATAAACAAAGTAGGGGTTTAGGTTAAATGACCTCCAAGGTCCCTTCCAGCTTTTGCTCCATTCTGCCTTTCTTGATGTCCTCAGGCGCTGGTTGAGTTTAAGAATTGGGTCTCTTGCTCCTCTGGTATTCCTAAGACAATAGGATCATAGGAATTAGAACTGGAGGGGACCCTGGGTCCAATGTCTTCATTTTATAGATGAGGAAAATGAAGCTCAGGGAGATTAAATGACTGACAAAGAATACACAGGCTGTAAGAGGTAGAGGCAGGATTCAAACTCAGGCTCTCTGACTCCACATCCCATGCTATCTGCACTCTAGCATGCTGTTCCACAAGGGAGTAAGCCCATCTACAGCAGAGGGGTTCAAGGATATTTGTTAATTTCAGAGTCAGATCCAGATCTGTATTCAACAATCCTAGTAGCAATAATGGCTCTTAAATTCATTGTTCCTAGTCAACTGAAAGAAAGCAAATTATAACACTGCTAGTTCTAGAAATTTGTCCCTATTTCTGGAGCTTTGTCTTTAAACCAGGTTCATGGACCCTTTGCTTGTCTGGTGAAGTCTATGGACCACTTCTCAGAATAATGCTTTTAAATGCATAAAATAAAGTACAAGGCATTACAAAAGAAAACAATTGAATTCAGTTATCAAAATATCACAAGTTCCAACTTCACAGATGCCTTGAAATCTATCCACATTCCCCTTGGGGATCTGTGGACCCCAGGTTAAAAAACCCCTGCTTCACAGGCATAGTGAGCTTATGGAGTTTTATTAATTACTTGTACTTTATAATCCAGGGGTCCTATTAAACTTACATTTGATCTTCTGGCTACAGGTTTGGAACCTAAGAATACTAGAGAATTACATTTTAGACACAAAGAGATTTTAAAGAAAGAAATAGATTGATTTAAATATATGGCTCTATAATGAAGAGTCTTTCTGTAATGAACTTACTACCTGCAGAAAAGTCACTGAGCCTCTCTGGGCTTCAGTATCCTTATCAATAAAATGAAGTGGTTGAACTAGAAGACCTCCTAGGTCTTAATCCTAAAAGTCAGACTTGAAGTTTGGCCCCAGCCACCTTTGCCACTTACAAAGTCCTTTGACTTTGGGTAAATTACTTCCATTACCAAAACCTTACGTGACGTGACTACATGAGGATTGAATGAGATAGCATATGTATAAACACTTTGTACAGAACAGTACAAACATGTATTATTTTTATTATTAATAAATATAGAGGGAGGCAGCATGACATATTAATAAAGGATTGGCATTGGATTCAATCAACAAATAAATAATTATTAAGCACTGACTGTGTACCAGGCAATGTGCTAAGTACTGGGCATTGTCAGGAAGATCTGGTTTTAAGTCCTGCCTCTGATACATATTAGCTGTCCTTAAGTTACAGATGAGTGGTTGTTCATTTGTATCAATGGATGTCCTGAGGAACCTTCCTTTTCCTAAGGTGCCTAGCCAGTGCCTTTTGAGTGTTATGACCCACCAAGATGTCATTGAAGTAGGAATTCCTACCTGCAGAAGTTATGGATCAAGTCTGTAAAAGCAAATTGGTACTTTTATGATGGCTTATGTTGTCTACTGCAATTGCCAATGCAATCCCCTTTTCAGACAACTCCATTCTTAAATAAAAGAAAACTGTGTTTTACACATGGTTTAGTGTAATCCTCTTTGCTTAAATGTCGAGTTTAAATTTTCTTTGAAACATGGTTGTTTGTAGCTTCATAAATTTGCTTGTTAAAAGTGCAAACTTTGTTTTCCCTTTTCTTCTAATTTTTAAAAAAGGTGTGGTCTTCTACTCCAAGATAACAATAGCTCCCATTAAAGTCATCCTCAGTACATTAGTTTCCAGCAGACTGACCATCCTAAGATAACTGCCACTTCCTAATTTCACTGATTGATTGAATAATAACCTTAGGTTAATCATGGGAACTATTCCATCACAAATTTACCCCCAGACAACAACCATCTACATCTGAGGTCACTAGGGGTCAAAGACAAATCATGATTACTGAAAGGACCACTCAAAAGTTAAACTTGTGTGCCCTGGACAATTAGCATTCAGAAAAGACTGTCCTCAACAATTCAGGCTCATGATGCCTTGCTAGTTGGCACTCATAAATCTTCCAGAACACTTGAAGTGAAAGGGGCCTCACTGATAAGGATTGATAACAGTAGCAGAGCTTTTTATTTATTTTTTTAAACTATGTAAGTAGGAGCAATTCAGCCTCAAATCACACTGTAACCAAAGACATTCTGGGAATTTCACATGGGTATGGCTATCTGTGTAATTAAAAAAAACAAAAACTTTTTATATACCCAGAAGAGTATGCCCTTCTTCTGGAGGGCTAAGAGCAGCACTAACTATCCACTCAAGATCTGACCAGCTATAATTAGCCCTATGAACTTCGAACAGTGAAGGGAGTTTCCACAAGGGAAGTTGATGATGAAATTATGTGTGTGCCCCCACAAAAACTGTATAGAAATAATTGTTATTAGTATTAGTCCCTGTGAATATCTTTTTACATTTATTTCTTATGAAGACAGTAAGAATTACCTTTTAAGATAAATGGCTTTTTTTTTAAGCTAAATATACTTCAATGTCTCTGAAGGTCCATTATTTCTTCAGTGTGTTGGGGTATGGTTGGGGTGGAGGGTTTTTCCTTGAACACAGATCTTCCAGAGTTACTGTGGCCCAAAATTGGTGGCGACAACTTTCTATTGATGAATTTCTCTTCCCTAGCATCTAGGGAAGAAAAGAGAATAAGCATTTATAAAGCGCCTCTAATGTGCCAAGTATTATGCTAAATGCTCCACAAATATTATCTCACCCTGCAAGGCAGGTGCTATTATTATTTTACAGGTGAGGCAATTGAGGCAAACAGAGGCTAAGTGACATCATCAGGGTCACACAGCTAGTAAGCGTCTGAGGCTAAATTTAACTCAGGTCTTCTTGACTCCTGGCCTAGTGCTCTATCTACTGTGTCACCAGCTGCCTCCATCTAACACAATGCCTGGCACCTAGTAGGCACTTAATAACACTTATTGATTGATTGATTAGCTAAAATGGCTTCAGATGACAAATACAGTAAAGTTATTGGCCCAAATTAAAAATGCTTCCAACTTAGTCGGATCTTTGAGAAGTTTTACTCCATTGGCATTGCCTTCAAAATCCAGGGTCACCTATTCCAGTATCAGGAGCTAAAAGTTTCTGGGTTAACGTTTGCTGGGTCCTCTTAGGAAAAGTACTTAATCCACTAGGCAATTCAGCAGATGTTGATTCTCCTATTGGATATCTACAAATGTCTGCCTCTTCTAAAGGGTTGTCAGGAATGGCTGTTGGCAAGTGTTTCTCTGCCTTCAGACAAACTCAGTCAGATTATCCTGCCTAAATTACTATATCCTTAACTTTGTTTGCTTCCTTTCTGAAAGGTAAACAAGTACCTGAGTAAAAAAGAGAATAGGCCATGCTTATCTGCATTCCTTCTTGTCTTGTTATGAAGTGGAAACATCACACCATAATTATCCCAAACATCAGTTAGGAGGTATTTTAGGGTTTTAGCTGTGTATCAGTTTTCTCTTTTAAGACATATTTATGTTATATAACTTATTTCTTATTTTAAATGAAGGCTGTCCTTGTACCCTCACATTATGTAGCTATGCATATTATGTGGCAAGACATATATTTATTTAGGAAGGTGGTTATTCAGATGACAGCTTTTGTTTTGTTCACTCTGTCAGAATGTAATGTGTTAAAACTGAAATTATGAGATCCTTGTAATATATTTGTTTAATTTATAGTATATTTTTGTATCATATCCTCCCTCAAATAATTCAAAAAATAATTATCTTTTTGTAGCTGAAGGGTAATTTTCCCTTGGTATCTCTAAAAATGAATTATCTTTTAAATGCTACCATTAAAAACTCAGCTGATATATTTCAAATACATTAAAAGGTTTTCATATTCTAGTTGTTTGACTCTTGCCTAATTTCTGCTCATATGTGTCACCTCTATGAATAATATACAGATCATCATTTTTTAAGGTTGAGAATTGTATCTTATGAAGAAATCCACAATCAAAATGCCAAAATTTATAGAACCACAGAACATGGGCACTTCTAGAAGCAACAATAGATATCATCTAGTTCAACTCCTCATTTTATAGAACAGAAAATTGAGGCCCAAAGAAGTGAAGTGACTTATTCAAAGTCACATGGCTAGTGTGAATTACCCAGAGCTTTCATTTCCTTTGCAGGCCTAAGCCTGCAATATATTTGTGCATTTTGTAGCTCTTTACAACCTTTACCAGAGGGTGAGAAGGGGTAGTGAAAGTGAAATCAGTTCATTTTATGATTCATGATCAGCAGATTTCCTGGAGTAGGAAGAAGAAAACAAAAATTTCACAAAAGGAGACTATTGGATTATATGTGGATTTCATTTGTTCATACTTTATCCATTAAGAATACATTAAGTTTCTGCACATTCTTCCCTTCATTGAAATAAATAGCTAAGGCTTCTTTGTGTGTCTATATACATGGGGACAGAATGGTTCTATGAGATATTCTGACCAGAGCATTTAGTTAAATGTATCATCAAAGCTCTTCTATACATTGGTACAGCCAGAGTTATAACTAGCAAAATATTTATACCTTGGGTAGCACAAATCAGCTAAGGGCAATGAACTCCAAACATGCCCTCAAATCAACTTTTTAAAGATTTAGTGGAGGGAAAGACCAAAGGTAGGCTTATGGCAACCTGGATATGGTAGGGCCTTAAGGCCTGTGGTAGGGCTGAGACCACATTTTGTGTGATCATTACTTCTTCCTTCTGTGGGAGACAGATGTGGGTAGACTTACCAGTGTCAGCAGGGAGGATATCAAGCCAGGGTCATTGTCCTTTCCTTTTATCACTCCTTACTTGGAGCTGGGCATTATACAACATCACCATGAAGAGGGAGAAGAGGGTGCCTTAGGACCAGCCTGAATGTGGGTGAGCCGGGAATGGTATCAGACCACCCCACAAGCCCGCCATTCTCCACCACCTGAAAGCAGCCATTTGCAAACCTGTGATACAACCAGGTCCCAACTCCTTGTGATGTCACCAATTTGCCTACATCATGGGTTTGTTACCACTAGTGCTTATGGTGAATCCTTAGCCCTTATCTCTCACTCTGGCAAAAACTGAGAGAGGAAGCATGTTTAGCTCCATGTTTCTAGGCTGCCAAGGATTTGCAAGTACTTTAAGTGACTTCTAACTTTAGGTCCCTGGGGCAAAACCCCTGCCACCTTACCCTACTTACAGCTGAGCACAATATTACTAGCTAGTATTTCTAGATATTTTGCTGTTATATCACTGTGTAGATGGGTAACAAATATTTGGTTTACTTGAAAGTTATAAACGTAATGGTTGCAGATATTTTGATAATGTATCCATTAAGGTTTTACCATATTTCCTGGTGAAGAAATCTTTAGTGACATCTTGTCATCAAATGAGTCAGGACACAGGTTTTTCTTTGGTCTAATTAATTCATAGAATTTATAGCTAGAAGGGGCTTTATATATGACATCTAGTTTAAATTGCTATCCCCATTTTGCAAAAGTAGAAACTGAAGCCTAGAGAGAAAGTGACTTACCTGAGGCCACAGGTATGAAGGTAGAACAAAATAGACTCATGACTTGAACTTGGTTCCTTTGATTCCAAATCCAATGCTCTCTCCATAATATGATATTGTAGTAGTGTTCAGACCCTTTCCTAGTCCGTAGTCAGTCGGTCAATAAATATGTATTTAATACATACTGTGGGTCAGGCTCTGTGTTGAGCCCTGGGTGTACAAAAGGAGGCAAAAGATAATTCCTGTCCTCAAGCTCACAATCTAATGAGGGAGAAGACAAGCAAACAAATAGGCATGAACAATTTATGTACAAGAGAAATAGGAAATAATTAAGAGAGGGAAGACATTAGAATTAAGAAGTGTTAGGAAAGGCTTCCTGTAGAAGATGGGATTTTTAGTTGGGACTTAAAGGAAGCCAGGGAAGCCAGTAGGTAGAGATGAGAAGAGAAAGTGTTCCAGGCATGGGGAACAGCTGGAGAAAATACCTAGAGCTGCAATATGGAGTGTCTTATTCATGGAACAGGCAGGATGCCAGTGCCACTGGATCAAAGAGTATGTGGCAGGGAATAAGGTGAAGGAGACTGGAAAAGGAGAGAGGGTGCTAGGTGGAGTGCCAAACAGAAGATTTTGTACTTGATCCTGGAGGTATTAGGGAGCCAGTGGAGTTTACTGAGTAGGGAGTGACATGGTCTGACCTGCATTTTAGGGAGATCCACAGTGATGATGGCAAAAGAAATCCTTCCTGATGAGAAAGGGCAGATGAGTTATGATCTGTAGCAATGGAAGGGATACCTGAATCAAGGAGATAATAGAACAATTTTGTTTAATTGACTCTTACATGTTAATTGACTAATTGACTTGCCATCTTGCTTTTGGGTGATACTAAATTTCCTGTACTCACATAAAATTTAAGGTCATTTAATTCTCTTGTGAAATGATCAATTACATTTGAATAGCATCTTTATATAAAAAGTACTATGAATAATTTCCAAATGGAAGACTGATTACACGCAATTTAGGTTATCAACAAAGAACATCATTTCATCCTAAAAACTTGCATCAATCAATAAGCAAGGATTTATTAAGTGCCTATTATGTATACAGTTAGCGTTTAAGAAAAGGATAAATCCATATCCTCCAGGAAATTTTAATCTACTCAAGGAGATAAAACTAACCAATAAAAAGCTCCTAGAGATCAATAAAGAATAGTATGAAGTGGTAAATTGTGTAGTACAAACTATAAGTGCTACAGGAGTTCAGTGAAAGGAGAGATCAGTGTGAGCTAGAGCAGACAAAGAAGGCTTTGTGGATAATACAATAGAAGTCATGTTAACATTGAGGTGTATTGGGAGCTATAGAAGCACAAATCCCCCACAAACATTACACTAATGCTCAAAAAATGTACCAGAAGGAACAATTATAAAGAAAACCAAAGAGAAAAATCTATAAACTCTTCCATCTCAGGACTGTACAAAAAAACCTACAGAGGCACTGAGCAAAGGCAAATGAGGGTAGGCAGAAGGCACTATAGTCTGGACCCACAAGAGGAAACAGGACCAGACCAGTGCCCAGTATAGGGGCCAGAGAGCCTAGGCATAAGTCTGGGTAAGAGATAGGTAGCATCTTTACATAGCACATGGCCCAGATAGCTCTTTCCTAGCCATAGGAGAACCCAGAGCCAGTTAGCATCAGATCTGAGCAGTTCTGTCTTACAGTAGGAGACAGGACCAGACCAGCACCCAGGTAGTCTAAGCCTGACCCAGATCCTAGGCAGCTCCTGCCCAAATCATAGCAGAAGCCAGGGCCAGACCAATGTCTGCCCACACCATCCAAAACTATGGGAGTTACAAAAGTCTAACTCAAGAACAAAGTCCTAATTGAGAAACTGGGAATACATATGAGTAAAAAGAAGAAAATGCTGAATATAATGAATTAATACTATGGATTGAGAGAAACCTAAGAAGAGAGCCCAGAAGAAGAGAGTAATTCTACAAGTTTAAATAGATTCTCTCAGAGAAAAGAATGACTTGGCCATAAGGATCATAAGACCATGTAGTAGGAAGAAATTGATCAAGATATCATGTTAAATTAAAGAAAAGCTGTGAAGGAAAGGATGGGGAGGAGAGGATGGTAAACCAGAAATGGACTCCCTGAAAATTATGAGTCGGTCAGAAAGCAATGATTCTATGAGTCAACAAGAAATACAATAGAAGAAATGAAAGGTGTATACTATCAAAAACAACTTACCTGGAAAACAAGATAATCAAAGAATCATCAGGCTATCTGAAAATCATGAAAAACAACCCCCCAAAATCTTGATTATCATATTTCAAGAAATCAACAAAACCCCTAGGACTATTAGAACCAGAAAGTAAAATAAAACTAGAAAGAATAGACATGCCACTTCCTTAAAAACATTGCTAAATTAAAACTCCTAAAAATGCCATAGCCAGAGCTTCCAGATCAAAGAAAAAGTACTATGAATTTCAGGAAAGAAAGAGTTCAAGTATCACAGAATCATCATCAGTATCACAAAAAATTCAGTAGCTACTATTATAAAGAGGAAAAAAAGATCTTGGAATATGATATTCCAAAAGGAAAAAGATAAAGACATTGATAACCAAGATACTTTACCCTGAAAAACAGTAAAATTCTTCAGGGGAAAAAGGCTTTCTAACTGAATAGAGGACTTTGAATCATTCTTCATAAATGCCCAAAGCTGAGTAGAGAACCTTTGAGAGGCAGACATAGGAGTCAAGAAAAAACTAAAAAGGCAACTACATTTAAATATTTCTAAGAGACTACACAATGATGACAAGGGAAGAAGAAATAAGTATCCCTTCAAAGCCCTAATGTCTTCAAGAATCATTGATGGAGTTAATAAGATAAACAGAAGGTCTGAGGTTTTACCCTCTCTTTTAACAAGAAGAAAAAAAAGGAGAGAAAAGATAATGTACTAGGGAATAGAGAAGAGGAAGGGGAGGAAACTTACTTTCTCACATAATAAAGATGAAAGAAATAAAGAAAATAGAAACATGGATGAAGGGTGAGGGTAACTGGCATTACATGAATCTTACTTTCATCTGAATGAGACAAATGAGACTTGAACACACTCATGCACAGACAAAGTGATGGAGAAATACATTAAACTTAATAGGGAAATGGACAGGGAGAAGGAAAGGGAGGAGTTTAAAAGGGAGAATAAGATCAGTAAAAGATTGACCATAACACAAATAAACTCCAGTGCCAGGGGGTAGAGTGTAAAGAAGGAGAGTGTTAAAAGGAAAGAAAGAGTAAAAAACCTGTGAATAGGGATGGGGTTGAAGGGAACAGAAGTGAAACAGTAGAGGTGAGATAAATTACTTCAGTTACAGACCTAATAATAAACCTATTCCTCTTTTATCACCTTCTTTTATCTTTATGAAGAGGAGGTACAGGCAAAGAGAGAAAAAAAATCAAGAGAATAGGGTGGAGAGAAATTGACAATTAACATTCATAACCATGAAAGTGAATAGGAAGAGCTCACCTATAAAAAGAATGAGACAGCAGGATAAACTACAAAGTAAAATACAATATTTCTCCAAAGATACAAACTATTGGAGAAAGAACTCACTATTTGATAAAAACCGCTGGGAAAACTGGAAAGCGGTATGGCAGAAACTGGGCTTAGACTAATATCTCAAACAATAAACCAAGATAAACTCAAAATTGGTATATATTTTAGACTTAAAGGATGATATCATAAGCAAATTAGTATCACCTGGAAGAAATTACCTTTCACATCTTTGGATAGGGGAAGAGTTTGTGACCAAACAAGAGACATAGAGGTTCACAGGAAGTAAAATGGATAATTTTAATTACATAAAGTTTAAAAAGTTTTCCCAAACAAAACAAATGTAGCCAAAATTGGAAGCAAAGCAGGAAACTAGGGGAGAAAATCTTTGCAGTGAGTTTCTTTGATAAAGATTCTATTTATCAAATATATAGGGAACTGAGCCAAATTTATAAGTGCTATTTCCCAATTGATAAATGGTCAAGGTATTAACAGGCAGTATTCAGAGGAAGAAATCGAATCTACCAATAAGAATATGAAAAAAATGCTCTAAATCATTAATAATTAGAGAAATACGAATTACAACAACTGTGAAATGCCCCCTCTTACCTGTCAGAATGGGTAGTAGAATAAAAAAAGGAAAATGACAAATTCTGGAGATGATGTGGGAAAATAGGTACACCAATGCATTGTTGGTGGAGTTGTGAACTATTACTATCATTCTGGAGAGCAATTTGGAACATACCCTTTGACTCAGCAATACCACTACTAGGTCTATACCTGTAAAAAGATTAAGGAAAAAGGAAAATGATCCATAGGTACAAAAATATTTATGGCAGCTCTTTTTGTGGTGACAAAGAATTG